TTTTCTAAAACACAAAATTATATGTTACTATAACTACGATTTTTTAAAATTTATATTTATTATTTTTCTTTGTCTAGAAGAAGATAGGTTTCAGGACAGTATGGCTTTGCCTCATCTTTTACTTTCTTACCAATACCAAGAATTCTCCCCCCAGGGGCACAGAATGGGTGGCCAGTAAGGATGCACTGAATCCACTGACTAAGGATGCAACATTTTTCAGGCAAGATGGCGCCTGTAACTTTTTATAGTCATGAAGTAGTGACAGAAATATAAAATTTAATTTTTTCAAAGAGTGGACAAAGACTAAAACTTTCACTGTAGCCCCAATCACCTCTAGTCAATGGTAGAATTTTGGTTTTCTTATTTTGTGAATATTTCTAGGGAGGAAAACCATCGTAAAGATAAGTTTACTGCAATCCTAACAGTGTAGAATGGTGAGGTAAGATACACTTTGGAGACAGATGTGCTCACTTTGAAGGTCCATTATTTTTTGTCATGTGACTTTGCATATATTTGCTTCTTCAGTCTCTGTGTGTGTGCGTGTGTTTGTGTGTGTGATGGAAGTTTAGAAATTCCACCTTCTCCATCCTAGCAACTTAACTAAGAAGACAGTGATTTACAGTGACATCTTCTACCATGCATTCTCTACCCTCCATCAGTGTAGTTTTCTAAAAGTCCCCATGTTATGCCTTCCATACTGAGGCTTATAATTTTGTATTTTATTTTGAGTGGCATCTGTTTTCTGTCCTCTAATTTCTGGATGCAAAACCTTCTCTTTAGAACTAATACTTTTATTTCCACCTGCCTGATTTACGTAAACCTGCTTTCAGAAAAGCAACCCACATCCTGGCACACCCACCCTGTGATCTGCTTAATATTTACCTCCATTGTCTCCATGACAAGCCCTTGGCACTAAGTCTATTTTGCTCATGCAGCACTTTGTAACACTCTGCTATGTAAGCTGCTAGTGCTATGTGAGTGAAACTCTGCTCTTAGAGTAAATGTCTTGTACCTGTTGGGGTTTCTTCCCCTTCACATCTCTTGCAGTGCTGAGCATGATCTATGTTGTAAATAATTAACTAACAGCTCCCTATACTGCTTCATGAGTTAATGACTTTATAATGAGAGCCCAAACAAAGGCATTCATTAATCACTTTATGTATGTATGTATGTATGTATGTATGTATGTATGTATTTATTTATTTTTACAATCGTGAGGGATGCAGGGGATGTGAATGAAATGTATAAAATAAAGAAATAATCAAACGTGACAATCAGTGGAAATCAATGAACTTTATATTTGCATTTCAAGAAAAGCTTTGGTTTTGTTTGGCTTGTTGTTAGTTAGCTGTTACCTAGAAGATGGTGCTAATTTGAAAGAAAATTATTATATCTATTAAAGTACCTTGACTTAAAAATAATATAGATTCTTTTTTTTGGTAGCAGGAATCAAACTCAGGACTTTAAGCTTGCCAGGCAGGCACTTGTGCTGCTGAGCTATATCTCCAGCCCAAAATACTATAGATAAAAGAAGTAAGATGAGTCAAAGTCATGTACCAACTCTCCATAACGAACATTATAATTATGTACTGCCAACATGTAGTAGTGAAATACAATAAAATCATAAATAATAAAAAATTAAAATATAGAAATATGTGAGCAAAATAAATTTAAAATAAGAATTAAAGTCAGACATGTGGCACACAGCTGTCATCTCAGCTACTCAGCTACTTAGGAAACTAAGGCAAGAGGATTCCAAATTTGAGGCCAGTCTCCGCAAGCTCTTGTTTCAAAACAACATGAAACAAAACACCTGAGGCTATAACTCAAATGTGTAGATAGTGCTTACCTAGCATACAGGAGGCCCTGGGTATAATCTCTAGTACTGCAAAGGAAGAAGAAGGAAAAGGATAAGGAAAGCATGAAGGAGAAAGAAGGAAGGAAAAGGAGGTGAAGGAGTAGAGAAAGATAAAAAAATGAAGGCAGATTGCACAGTTGCATGTTGCATCAAACACAATGGGGAGGAGAGGAGCCCTAGGCTTTTCTCTCATACCCAAGTCATCTCCTGCCTCAATGATGTGAGGCTAAGTAGGGAATGTGTCAGAATTGCCTAAAAATTCTCTTACATGATTTTACAACTCCAGATATGGACACTTCACATGTTCACAAACAGGACATATATATATTTAATTTCCTTTATCTGAGATTTAAATATCTGTTCTTTAAGAATAAACCTCCAGCAGCATGCCTCATTGAAATACCTCATTGTACATTCACCCCCTCATTGAAATTAACAGTGTTCAGTCACCTTTGCAGTGCAGAGTAAGTGGCTCAGTTCTGCAAATCAATGCCTGGCCACTGATGACCTGCTTCAGTTCTAGAAACATTCACTCAATCAGCCAGCTTCCTAGCAAAAATCTTTGCAGAAATGAACCCCTTCTGTGGTTAGAAGAAGCATTTCAACCCCTTGAAAATAACAGCAGAGCTATTTTTTGTTTCGCCTCCCAAATGAATATTAAACCTTTTATATATATAAAAAAAGAACAAATCAAGCACTGAATTTCCATTTCTCAAATTCATGATAGTGGCAATGGTGGGTCAGAAAGTGTCTTTGAGGGCAGCCTTGATGCTTGTTTTCCTTACTGCATTAAGTCAGAAAAATGCCCCTGAGATTTAATTATCTTCCTGTATTATTTTTCACTACAAAACCACTTATTCTTTTATTGTGTTACTTTGCTGAAAAAAAAGATCTTTAGTACATGCATTTCTTTTTCCTAATGGTGAAGGCAGGATAACTTCAAAGATGGAGTGTCCTAGCTTTATTGTGTTTGACAAAAGGAGCTGAATGCTTTGAATAGTTTCAAGGTGACACGAAGATGTGGGATTAGGGCTGGTGTAGATAAGGTCTAGAATAAGAAATTTGGGACATCGATTCCTCTGTATTCTTCTGTACTTGTCTCTGTATTTAGGCCTGTGTGGGTTTCTGGTACTATAAAATATTTGCGTGTGCATTATTCAGAAGAATTCTTCTGAAAAACGTGAAAGTTGTTTTCATAGATTGCTGATAGGAAAAAGACAAAGATGAATACCACACACAGGCTGATGCTGGGCTGGGGATGCAGCTCAGTGGCAGAGTACCTGCCTAAAGGTGCGAGGTCCTGGATTCAATCCCTACGACCTCAAACAAACAGACATACAAAGAAATAAGCAAAAAGACACATGTGAAAAACTGTGGCACTTTAGGGAGGCAAGTGGAGAACATTCTGTTCTTGATCTTTTATCTGTGCTGTACTTCATACAACTGTTGTTCATTTTCCTTTCTCTTACCAGGTTACTCTTTCTCAGTACTTCGTGTAGGGCATGATTCCCAAATGAAGGATAGTGGCTGTCTGGAATTCTACCCCATAAGATGATGATGTTAGGGTGTGGGGTCTTTAGAAGGTGATTAAGTCATGAGGGTGAAACATATATTTTAGATGAATGGCCTTATAAAAGTGATCCCGGGAATTGTATGATTTCATCATATGAGACTGCATCAAGAAATCCCTATATAAAACACAAATAGACACTTACAAGACACCAGATCTTCCAGGACCTTGGTTGTAGATTTCCCAGCCTCTGCCGTTGTGAGAAATGAATTTCTGTTGTTTGTAAGCTGTCTGAACAGGCAGCGAGATTTATGACTTCATCACTTAGACAGACTGAGACCCTCATTCTCTCCATTTTTAAATTTCCAGGAAAGACTTTTGATTGATACATTCTGTAGTGTCTGTGATTTGCCTATTGTCTATAAATCATGTCCAGGAGTCAGAGTGAAGATGCAAAATCATGGCAGCTCTTATTTCAGTTATGTGGGTAAAGAGAGAGGGGAGTGGGAGGAAAAGTAATAAGGTCATTCGCCCAAGAAGTGTATCATGGTACATGAGATGGTAACATGCTATCATGATTGCGAAATGTTGATATTAAAATAAGGATCACATGGGAAGAAATATGGAAGAATAAGCCTAAATAAGTCACTTTGTTGGGGCTGAGGATTTAACTCAGTGGTAGAATGCTTATCTAGCAGGTGAGAAGCCCTGGGTTCAATCATCAGCACCAAAATAATTTTAAACAACAAAAACAAAAAAGCAAAGAAAACAAGGTAACTGGCACACACAAGGCAAGTGGCATATGCATAAATAATTTAACTTTCTTAAGTTGAGCAGTATTTGAACTTGGCATTAGCTTATCTAGAAGAGTATCTACAAACTTATTCAACTATTAATTTATTTTGTGTTTCTACTGTTCATCCATTCATTCATCTATCCATCACTCACTCATGCTGAGAGATTTTTCTTTTATTTATTCAAAGGATAAAGGATTTAAAGTAAACAGGAGCATTTAAGAAGGAAATATATTCAGGGTAACTCTCAAGACAATACTAGTAGATATGCTGATCGTACTATACTAACAGCTAATTTCCACAATGCAATAGCATAAATCTAAGAGTCTTTATTCTTCTCTTCCACAGTCCATTTTAGAGTGAGTGTAAGAAAGAGTTCTGCTTCTTTCAAATAATGAAGGCTTTGGGTTTCTTCTATTGAATGATATATGTCATTCTCAAGACCTCCACAGTGTTTCTTTGGGTCTTGTGGCTCTGGCCAGCTGAAAAGTTAAAAAGCAAAAAAAAAATTTAAAAACCAGTTCTAATAATGGCATTCTTTACTTCCCCCTGTATTCCATGCTCTGAATCTGTCACAGGAAGAATCGAAGTTCCGTAGAGTGCAGTATGGAATCTACCCTTACACTGAAGCAACAAAATGTTGAATACTGCCATCAGACTAGCCCGTTTAAACAGATCCACATGATTTTCTCTAGGGGACACCACTCCCTACATAAAATGAACACAAGAGGTGAAAGTCCAAGCAGTACCTGGGATGCTGGAGTTCTCTGGAAGAAAAGTGTATGTAATCATTTCCAGGTCAGTTTCATGCTCCTCTTTGGTTCATCTTCCTAAAGGTTGGCAGTGCCTTCTGTGCATGGCAAAATCTGTGTGGGCAGGCCGGGTGTGCATGATACCACTCGGTGCAGGACGTTTCTGGGGCTAAGACAAGAAGAGGAAGGCCTTAGTAATGGGTAGAAACCTGCTCTCAGATCGTCCCGTTATTGTTTTCTACAATGACACGTGGAGGGGCCTAAGACTGCTAAATTGAAGTCCTAGCTTCTAAGTTGTTATGAATGTGTTTGACAATGTGCGAAGTTCAAATACGTTTAACACAGCAGATTGTCGGCGAGATTCATGACTCTTAACAGGCAGATGTGTTTTCTGCAAGCCTCGTCTAGTACAATTACTGCAGGACCCTAAAATTTTAATAATATCCCCTGAGTTGGTTTCAAGTGATCTCTGTATGATGGACAACCAGTGGGATTTGATGCTTCAATTTTCATGCTTCTAAGAGGAAGAGAAATACAAAACTGCTTCTATTATACAAAATGAAAATAATTGCTATATTTCACCAAGGCTTATCCAGTGGGCAATTTCTGTGTATATCACCCTAAGCACTCAGCACTCTAAAAAGCAACTAATACAAACTCTCACTTAATTTAACTAGAACTACCTTTTTAAAAAAATTAGCATGTGTTTAATACTATACTTAAAACCTGTATGCACTGTTCTATGTGTTTTAAATGACTGTTTTCATTACTCTGTTCCCATTTGACAGGTCAGAAAATGTAAAGTGGGAATGAAGGGGTCTGTGGAGAAGGCACACACATCTTCACTTGTAATCACATCTTATTTTCTTTCCTGAAGCGTTACACCACTACCTTAGAGCTAAATGAATCTGAGATATCAGAAAACTCAGTGCCCTTTTATGCCCATTTTGATCCCATAATAGTCTCATAATCCAACCAAGTAGTTGCCCTGCCCATGTATAGACATTTATAGTGATACATATTTTATATATTCATACACTGGGAAATAAGCATTTTATAGCAGCAGTATTTTTCTTATGAAGTTTGGCACATTTATGCATTAGGGTCAGTAACACAAAAGAGTGGAGACGGTGTAGCTAAGCAACTAGAAATCACACGTAAATCATAATCCATTATATCTGTATCAGCAGTACTGGGATATTCCAAAGATAGTGAATTATGCACAGTAATGTCAGATAGAAAAAAATAATACAGTTATTTATTTTCCAGATTGGGTCACTTTCAGAATAAAAGTGGCTGTTATTAATAATTAGTACTGAAATAGTCCCAGGGAAATAGAAACCATATCCCTTTTAGTTATAAATAAAAACTAATTATTTTTGTTTTTTAAAAAATGCATATATTATGACATTTTTTAAAAGCCAAAATATAAGGACACAACACAAATTAGTAAATGCTAGAGGCTGGAATTGTGTAGAGAAGGTATGACAATAAAATAGTAGAGGGAACCTTGGGAAGTAATGAAGTTTTCCTACACATGGACTGAGGTGGTCACTGCCACACTGTATGATGCACTTGCTGGAGTTCCTAGAACTGTGCATATAGAAAAGAATTTCACTGAATACTAATTTCACATCATTTTTTAAAAAGTAGCGGAGTTAGGAGATCTTATAATAAGACTGGTAGAAATCTGAGTTTGGAAGAAGCTGTTTTTAAATTTCCTGGTCCTCTCCCTTCTATGGAAGCTTTAGCACCATTTCTCTATGCGTGAAAAGGAGAGGATGTGCCGTACTTTCCAGTAGGCAGAGGGTTGATGTAGGAATAAAATGTAGAAGTAAAATGAGAAAGCTGTCTGAAGCCCTGATGCCAACATGTAATACATAGTAGCATTCAGTGTGACTCAATCCTTTGGTACAAGTCTTGAAACAGAGATTCAGTAGGATTTGCTAATCTAGAGTCTGAAACTGGGAGTGTCTAGTACCCCTGCAGATAAGACACGCTAGCCAAAGAACACTTTTTATCACAGAGACTATGTGTAGCACCTGCTTAGCCCTGAATTGAGGCCTTCTGTTTCCTACTACCTGATAATAATTCAAACAAGCCTTAACAAACTCTCATGGAGTCAAGGGTCACTCCATCACCTTGCTTCTACAAAGTCAGGCATCCCACATCCAGTGACTGTTGATTAAGTTTCTGAATATAGCTTCCGGGTATGCTATCGAGGGGCATGCTGTGTCCTTCTCCTCTGGGCTGTGAGAATTCATGACTAATACACTGCTCTGCCTCTCCCCTGTTTCAGGTGCCAGGCCTGTGGCATTCCCTCTCGCGGCAGAGAGGATGTGAGCAAGCTGTTACTAGAAATGACCAATAGTAACACTAACAATACTATTCATTAATACAACTACCGCTATCCATGTGAGTACTCTAAATGCTTAATTGAGAAAGATAACTAACTACACACACTGCATCCCTGAGACTGATTGTTATAACTCCTTGTGGACTCATGCTTCAGAATTCCACAATGCTATGATTCTGATTCCTACCCAAGAGATTAATAAAGCACTGTGATTTATACAAAAGTGGTTATAGCTAGGAACTCATTAGCCGATTCATAGCAAGATTTGTAAATTAATCATTCCCCAAGGACTGTTTGGGAGTCTGACATAGAACCTCAACTCCCTTCTAAATTTTGAGTACTTAAAAAACATCTATGAGGATTTGGATATATGTTTGTGTGTGTGTAGTTTAACTAGGGATATTTTTCATCACTGAAATGAAACTCAGATCTGTCTCAGTAGAGATTATAACTATAATACCGAGTGAATTCTAGAGACTGGGAGGAGATGGCTGTGCCCTGATGAGAGCTACATGCACCACCAAACACTGTCATTCCCTCCAGATATAAATGCCAAGGATGTCTTTAACAACACACTTAATTCCCATTATACCAAAATGGCCCCTATTTGATTCTTTTGGGTCCACCACAAACTTCTCAAGGGAGTGGATTCATGTTCCACAAACCATAGTTTAGCATAACGTTATTATTCTTTTGTACCATTGCAGTGTTCCTTGACCACTGAATGTCCCATTGCTGTTATAGTTACTGCTGTTACCTTGTTAATGTGCATTCCAAAGTTATTATCACATATTTCCAGTTTTTCTTTCTACTTGTTGATTTTGTTTGTTTTTCTTTTTGTTTTGTTTTTTGGTATTTTTTTTCCTATAAAGGGAATCGAACTCACAACCTCACGCTTGCCAGGCAGATGCTGTGCTGCTGAGCTAAATCCCCAGCCCCTCTTTCTATTCGTTGAAATAGCTCTATATTCTCAGTAGTCTTTCTCTGATGGAGTCATGCTGACCTCTGCAGAAAAACAAGGTTTGCCTTTTTACCTTCTTCCTCATGATTTGCTAAGCCCATCCTACAAACTACAGAACTAGGCATCAGTGTTCACTTCTCAGTGCTTCTACTTTCTAGGTCAGAGCTGACGGTGGTGGACTGACAACAGGTGGTCAACTTGTAATCCCCAGCTGAATCGAACCAGCTTGGTGCTGGGTGTGAGAGGCCCACCTCAGGATTGTTGCCAGCAGCATAAGAGGCAGAACTGTACAGGAAAAAGTTGAGAGGCTATAGGGAGCAATAGAAGCTGTTGGGAAGCTGTAGGGAGGTGTTGATTTTGTGGTGTTTGCTTTTCTGATGATTCTGGCTGTTCTCACTGAAGGAGCTCAGGTCTTAACTGTCACTGAAGGTGGCTATGATTCATTTTGGGGAGCTCTGGTCCCCACTTTAAGCACTGCTTCCTCACTCCAGAGAGGAAGATGGTGCACTGCCAGTCTCCTGGAGAAGCTTGCTGGGTTGGGTTTCCTGATGGGAACTCGGCTGTCCTCATCCTCAGAGGACGTTGGAGCCTCTCTGCTGTTGAGGGTGGCTGTGGTGCTTTTCAGGGGAGCTCTAGTTCTTACTTTGAGCATTGCTTCCTGGCTCCGGTGCAGGTTCCTCAGCCTCTCAGTGCAGATCCTTCATCCCGCTGGCACAAATTTTCTAGATTCTACCACTGACCTTTGGGCCTTCCCAGCACAGATCCGTGAGATGGCCTTCATGAGAGGTTGCGGGCTGTGGACCTCCAGCTGGACCTGTCGGGGGCATTGTTATGGGCTCTAGGTCTTCAGCTGGACTCATGCAGGACATTTTCATGGGATCTAGGCCCTCAGCTTGATTCTTTGGTCTTTAGTGTATGAACAGATTTCCTGTACTCTTTTTGTATACGACTCTGGGTGACTATTATAAAATAATTCTTATAATTAAGTGTCCTGTATTGTATTGTTCCCCTTGTGAAACCCAAGCTACAACATTGCCAATCATTTTCTTCCATTTTCTTCTCATAGTGATAAAGTGCCCTAGGCCAACACAATTCAAAATGTCAATCCACTCATTTTATTACATATATAGACTTGCCTGAAATTTCGTTGAATCTGAGAATAGGAGCCCTAAAATAAAAGTGCCAGTAGCCTTAGAACTGTTCTGTTATTCTTATTATCATTCATTAATTTTTTTCAGTAAATGCATGGTAAATCATTTCTATGTAAGAAATATTTTGCTAGGCATAGGAACATAAAGTGAAAAATATCCTGGGTAATTATGTTTATGTAATTGACACTCTAGGACAGTGAATTTGTTGAAAGGCTCGATCTGGATCATTTAAAACATTTGACAAAAACATGGAAATGTAGATAAGAATACTTATTTACTGAATCAAAAGTCTTTCTAGTAAGGGCAGAGCCAGAGAGGGAAAACTGGGATAATTTATTGGAGAAGGTGAGTCTAAAAGACCAACTTTCCAGTTACTGGAGCTCCTGCACAGAAGAGGCAATATATTGTGAATTAATAGCAGATATGGGGGATTTGGAATAAGGATCTAAATCTAAATCTAAAGAAGTCATAGCAGCTTCTAAAATTCTCCAACACATACCCTCATCTCACAGTGAAGCAGGCCTTAGAGAGGCTTGGAAAGGTAGCTTGAGATCAGATCTATCCAAGCTCAGAACATGTACCCTCTGTCCTTTGATATGAGTCTACCCAACTCTCCAGCCTGGGTAATCCAAGACCTTCCAATGAGGCCACTGGATGAAATGGGACCCTGAGGAGTGGTTTCTGGGAGCCATCATGCTGCTTCTACATTGTCAAGCTTGAGGTCCTAGCTGCCTTTTACACCAAAAAGCTGACTGCTTTTTCTATCACTCTTTAATAGTTAATCCCTACCTTGTCAGTTAAAATATTTCAGCAACTCCCTCCAGCCAGATAAATCCTGGTAAGTTTAAATTAGATGCCTCAGCAGCATCAGTCACTCAAAAGGCTTCCAGACAGAGCAACCATGCCATCTCCCTCATTATAGACAGAGTGTCCTGAAGGAAACCTCTTAATGGGCTTTCTTCATGGCTGTGGGGCAGAACGGGATACTTTGTGTTACACCTCAGTCAGAATTTTACTGCCTCTAGGGAGGATATATTTTCTGTTAATATGATGAAGCCTCCACATTTCTGAATATGGCTGCAAAATTCTGCTTTTAGCAATGTGCTGTCGGCAATGCGGATATCTGGTCATGTCACGTCTGCGCTAAAACACTTTGGAGAGCTCTCCATTGAGTGAATGGTACCGTACCTTAACTTGCTAGAAGGTAAAATCTACTTCAAGTTAGTCATAAATGGCATTCCCTGTCTCACCTGCAGTACATACCTCAGGCGTGTTGACGCCTCCACTCAGACAGGTCCAAGTGCTACTTTTTTGGAAATACTACCTGAGTATTGATCCGTCCCTGAGCCCACACTGCCCTTCTATGGAGAATGCTTTCTGCACTACCTACTCCAAGCACTGAAGTTTTCCTCACTCTTTATAAATACCACCTTTACCATCAAGACAGCCCACAAGTGGACATGGACAGTATACCGCCGACCTATAAATTCTGATAATGTTTTGAACATCCATTATTTAAGTACAAGAATACAAATTCCCATTATGCAAGGCCTTGCAGCTTGCACTTGGTAGCATTCATCTTTCAGTTGGTTGTTTGTCTCTGAATCAATGTCTTACACATAGGTGCCGCTCAGTAATGCGGTCACATTAGATTAGCAATGATTTATTTCTACTCCTGTCTTCTTGTGACGTCTATCTTTCACTTTGGGTCTTTTACCTCTTACACATGTTGAATGTCCAACAGTCATAGGATGGTAAGAATTGTGATTTTAAACAAATGCATAACCTATTGGGAACTTCTGAGTAATGGTGTTTCCTTCCAGCTGGTAGGATCAGAGCATCTTTGTGAAGCATTTTGAAAGAGAAAATCTTACAAGACAAGTTAATGGCTAATATAATTAGTGATTTCTGCTCATGTAGGAAATATTAGAGAATTAAATTACATCCACAAGAGAACTGGTGTGACACAACCAGAAACTTAGCCAATGGTAGCTGGTGATGAAATGCTAAATAGCAAAGCCTCTCTGAGCTCTGAGACTAACCCTAAAGATGATGTTGTAGTCTTGGGCTTACAAGGGGAAGCAATTAAATAGAGGACCCTTACTTAAAAGATTATTTTATGGTAGTTACCCAAAAAATCATACACAAAAAGAGTGCAGGAAATCTATCGACACGCTAAAGACCAAAGAATCCATCTGAGGACCTGGATCCCATGGTAATGTCCTGCATGGGTCCGGCTGAAGACTAGAGCCCATAACAATGCCCCTACTGGAGTCTAACTGGTGAGCTAGAGCTTATGACAACGTCTCATGCAAGCCTGTTTCACAGATCTGCACTGGGAAGGCCCAACGTCAGTGGTGGAAGCTAGAAAGTCTGTGCCAGCGGGATGAAGGATCTGTGCTAGCAGGCTGAGGGATCTGCACAAGAGCCAGGAAGTGACGCTCAAAGTAAGAACCACAACTACGCCAAAAAGTACCACAGCCATTCTCAGCAACAGTGAGGTCCTGAGCTCCTCAGATGATGAGGAAAGCTGAGTTTCCAACAGGAAAGCAAACTCGACAAGCTTCTCCAGGAGACTGAGGAGTGCAGAACCACAGTCATTCTTAGTGACAACAAGGTCCTGAGCTCCTTCGATGATAACAACAGCCGAGTTCATCAGGAAAGCCAGCATGACAAGCTCCTCCAAGAGAACCAACAGCTGCGGGAGAATGAATACCTCCCTAGTACTCTGTCTTCTTCTTCTCCAGCTCTGCCTCTTATGCTGTGGCAACAATCCTCAGGCAGGCCTCACACACCCAGCATCACTCTGGTTCAGTTAGGTTGGGTGTTAACACACTGACGACCAGTTGTCAATCCACCTCAGATGATGATTTTTCACCATAAAAATATGGCCAAAGTGACAGTGGTTTGTGGTTGAGGAATGGCAGAAATATTAAGTAGCTCATATCTTGGTTCAACTATGGGTTGCTTTCACAAAAATTAAAACAATTAATTTAGTTTTATGTTAGTGGCCTTTGTTTTCCTTTTCACCTTTTTGTGCTTCATGAACACTTTTTTCCCCTAAAGCCAATTAAAAAAAATTCCTGATGATAAATGCAAGATGGTAAAATCTTACCTCTGTGCTGAGATCTTTGTAACTTGCCTCGGGAGGCCTTTTTCTGAAATTGCAGAGCTAATGTCAGTTTGCAAACTGCAAAGCCTCCCACGAGTGTCCCGTGGAACCGGCACTGAAGTAAGGGTTGAAGGCTCTTATTTATCTTCGGCAAAGGCAGTTAAACAGTAGGCATCTAGATAAAAGAAACGTGACAAAGTAAACCATGGTAATGTGCTCTCAGCTCCTTCAATTTTCCCAGCTCCAGAGATTTGACAGTTGAAAATATAGCCCAGTGTTTCTGCCAATATCATAATTCTTGTCACAACTCTTTTATAGAAACTTAAGAGCATAAACAAGTGAAAACAATACCTTGGGCACAACTGGAATCTAAACCACCACAGAAGAATAATAAAGAAATTCATTTATATTATTTCCCTAAGTTCACACAGTTGTATGCAACGCCTATCCACAAAGCATTTCTGATTCCAGATTTCACAGGACCTGAAAAACAGACAGATTTCATTCAAAATTATGTATTTTCAGGGTGGTAAATGTCTATAAGGGGTTGGAAAACTATATATCCTTTGAAACAAAAGTTTTTCCTCTCCCATTTTTTAAAGTAATCTCAGTTATCAGAGAAAGTTTTACCCAAAGAGTGAAAGTAAATCTCACTCCAAGGCCAATAGGACCAAACGCATAGTACATTTAGAGAACTCCATCTAAATTAATTCATTTATTAACTTATTTATCAAGTTAACAAATTAATTCAAATGATATTCTGAGGGTTCTGATTGCCAAAAAAGGTAGTAATGTACCCTGCCCTGAAAAGACTCTTTTTAACATTCACACTAAACCTAATCCTAGGAGATGCAGATATAGCTCAGAGGCAGAGTGTCTGCCTGGCAAGGGCAAGGTCCTGAGTTCAATTCTTGGTACCAAAAATAAATAAATAAATGAATAAACCTAACCCAAAAGACACCTTTAGCCTGTCCCTGTCACACATATACTTAGACTCATAAGCCATTATGGTCTATGGTCAGGTCTATGGCAGAAGAAAGAACAAAATGCAAAATGAACCAGGTGAAAGAATGATGCACAGAAAAGAATGCCTTTTATCCACTACAGCAATGAACTTCATACTGAAGTGAGCAGTTTCACGTACTCAGAAAATTCCATTTGGAATATTGGAACAACATAGTGAGGTTGCCTGTTTACATTTATTGACTTTTGTATTATTAATTTATACACTTATACATAATTTGAGCATATGCATTTTATGTACCGGAGAGACACAATTTATAAATAATAAACATACCCTGGGTGTGCTTGCTGTCTTTGCTTTTAATTTTTGGGGTGCATGATAAAACCCATAAACAACTTGGAACTACCAAGACACTAAATGACTCTAGCAGGGCAAGAACCACGAACTTTTCTATTCTAGGAAGATCGCCTGATGAGTGTGGAGCCTAAACAGAGAAGAGTGAACTGTATCAAACAGACAAGTGACACGACATGGTGATGTAAGGGAAGTGAAAATAAAGAATAATGCTTGACTTGACTTGTACTGGGGAGGAAAAATGCTTCAATATGGCTTCACATAATGTGGCCTGGAAGGCTTGGGCGGTACTTAGAAGGATTCTACATCTCAAATTCTAGGCTTGGAGTTAGGGATGGTACATATGTGACACAAGAAAAGATTTGGGTTAATGGGGAATAAAAGAAAACCTGAGTATATCATGTGAGCCTCAGAAGTGTGTGGAGCATGTCTTGGTAAAGACATTCAGGTAGAAATTGAATACCTAGATGTTTTACTGAAAAGACACCAGATGGTGATTTTCAGACGTATGAGAGATTTTTAAACATAGATGGGAGGTAAGTTGTTTATCTTTTAGATGAGATGGCCAAATCCAAATTTCTTAGAAGCACTTGGAACCTAGAGTGTAGATAAAATAGTTTCCTTCTCAGTATCCTTTCTTAGTGCTAGAAATGCTTTCTGAAACAAAATATTCTTTGCATATGTGGTCCTTAAGGTGGGAGTAGAAAAAATTAACCTCTTGAGTGAGACTGGTTTAATCATTAGGATGGCTGCAAAGATCATACCATGACTATAATGAAATAAAGTAAGACTAGTATATAAAGACAAACACCACATGATCTCATATACGTGTGGAATCTAAAGAAAATTTAGCCTGCTGAAGTAAAGAATAAAAAGACGACTATCAGAGGATGGGATAGAACAGAAGGAGAAAGAGAAAAAGAGGCACTAGGCAAAGGATTCTCATTTTTAGCTATATAGGAGGCATACATTTTGAGATATATTGCACAGCAGGGTAACAATATTTCAAAATAGCTGAGTTAATTTCAAATTTGTCACCCTTAAATTAACCAAATAAGTTAGGTGATTTATACTTTGAAGACACTGATTTAGTCATTTACAGAAATATAAGTATGATTTGTCAATTAAAATAATATATAAAACCCAGGATACAGGCATAGATTGACAGCATAGTGTCAAGGGCATTAGGAAGGAATTGAATTAAGCTGGGATTATGAGCATTTGTAACCAGAATAGATGCAGGTATTCTATTTAACAATGAAAAGCATGAGGTGCATTTTGAACTTAAGCAAATATTGTGTTCCTCACTGAATTGCTCATGTTTTCATCTATATGCCTACAGCATGAATTTTGACTACTGTTTTTTGTTTTGTTTTGTTCCGGTACCGGGAATCGAACTCATGACCTTGCATTTACCAGGCAGGCGCTGTGCTGCTGAGCTAAATTCCCAGCCCCGAATTTTAACCACTGTTGATGTAAAGAAAATGGGAAGAATTATGTGCAGGAGAAATAGATCCATTACAAAATGACAAATCAGTTTGTTCTGATCATTATAAACTGATGGTCAGTGAATTTTAATCCAAAGAATCAAGTCTCTTGAATCTTCTCTTTCTTGTAACTAAAGAGTAAAAGAAATATTTTGTCAACTTCCAAGAGCCTATTTTAAAAAAATTTTGAACAAATAGGTGTTCAGGTCTAATCACTATTGAAAGATTCGTATAGTACCATCTGCATCTTTATTTGTGTATTTCTGTAATAGTGCATTTGTATGTAAGTATTATGAACATGACTATGCATATCTTATTTGTCTAAAAGAAATGAAATTGTAAAAACACACTGCTATATAGGATTCATTCACCAATTCTTTTTAATATATATAACCTTTTCAGTTTTAATGACTATAGTATTCCACACTGCATGGTTACTGGAATTTATAAACCTATAGACAATTTATGTTGATCCCTAGTTTTTTCCATATCATAATTAATGCTTCAGTGACTGAAATGATTAATTTCAAATTATAATTCTTTAAAATCATGTGTATGGTATGAAAAATACTTATTTAAACTTATACTCCTCAACATAAAATACTTATAAAAAATATATCTAATAAAATCATCTTTGGGAATAGCGGATTTGTATCTGCCATTTCATACTCACTATGGGGAATAGCATACTTATATGTGCTGTTTCACAATTGTTCTGAGTCAGGCAAACTTACCTAAATAATTTAAGTTTTACATTTACAATTATGTACATATATGTAAACTATGCATAAACAGGCTCTGCCTTTGAGACATAATACAGAGAAGAATTTGATTTCTTAAACGCATATTTTAAAGCACAGATTTTTTGGGGGTCAGGTAGTCTACAAGATGTTTTGGAGACTGTTGAGATGCATGTGACCTCTTCTCTGATTTTAAATAATCTATTTCCTGATAATTAAATTATTTTCCATGCTCAGATATTGACCAGTAAACCTCTGGCAATATAATTCACTCTCCCTGGAATTTCAGGAGAGTTTAGTTGGTATATTTCATAAAATCTACAGATGAAGCTTCCTAAGTTTTTGTGAATGTCAACTTACTATTGAGAATAGTGTCAGTTTACTTCTTTGTGTTAATTTTCTACTGAGAAAAAAGTCTATTTGGTGCTTATAGTATAAACGGTGTGTTTTAGTTACTTTTCTCATTGCTAAGCCAAAATACTCAACACTCAAAAGTAAAGGAAGAAAGGTTTATTTAGGTTACAAGTAATAGAGGTTTCAGCACATAATCAGCTAGCTCCAAGGCAAGGTGGCATGGCAGAGGGGCATGGCGGAGGAAAAACAGTCCATAGCAAGCAGGTGGTAGACAGCAAAGTAGCAAGCAACAGTAAAGGACAAGCAATGGCCCTCTTTCTGTCCCTTATATTCTATCCAGGTTACCAACCCTTAGGGTGGGAAGCACTCTCTCCTAGGGTGGAGCAGCCTTAATCCCAGCATTGTGACCTGAACCAGTCCCAGCATCACATCTTTGATCCCAACATCACACACCCTAGATCCACCTACCTCTGAAAACCCCCACCTGTGACCACATGGGGCTTTGGGGGAACACCTCGATACAAGCCAGAACAGAGTGCATAGGTTATATAGTTTATTTTTAAGGTTAATCATTACTACATTTCTGCAAATAAACTTTTCCAAAGGGAAGTTCTTTGGTCAAAAAAATATATATGTATATTTTCCTGGCAGCATGACTCAAACTCAGGACCTTGTGCTTGCCAAGCAGGTGCTTGTGCCACTGAGCGATATCTCAAACCCAAAATATATATTTTTAAAAAATACATTCTTTGAAGGGTGTAAAACTCACAATGCCATGAGACAGTTGAAAGGAGCTGTTGTGCAACACAGTGTTGCAGTTTATTCTTCATGGCGAATCCATATATTCTGACTCTACTGAATTATAAATTATAGCTTTCACTATGCAGGCAAAAAGCATGCACTTATTCAGAAATCCAGGGTAAACTCTGTTCTCTTTTTATCACTGTTTCATAATCTAAGATCTTGGTTTAGAACACTGCAGTGATAATGTACTAATAAATGCACTAGAAATAAAGAAGGAATTAACAGAAAAGATATTTCTGGAATCACGAGGGCTACCATAATGAAGTCAACTAAATTGGCCCATAGGAAATTGCCTTTTTATGTCAACATGATAAAATATCAATGTATATTTTAATCTAAAATGCACACAAATAAAAGCTATCAAACTATATGAATACAGAAGACAGAAAAATTATATGTAGCTTTTAAAATCTTATTTTGTTTATGGTCACGTTTTTACCATAGCCAAACTTTTTTCACTGATAGCGCTATGTAATCCTTAGCTCAGGCACAGGTGAAATATCACAAATATTTAATTAGCATAGTCCAATCCACAAAGTTGAGGTTTCTGTACTACTTCCTCAGAAAACTCATATCCATTGAAATTTTTCAGGAGACACCATATATAAGAATATCTCCACCTCCACCCTAGTTATTCCAAATTCAAATAATACTGACTTTAGCATCTCATCATGGGAAATTGACATAATTAAGCACTCTTCAAAGAAAAATAGACTCTGATGTCTCTGATACTATTAAATA